GTATGATCTCCCCGTCCGGTGAAGATGCATCGGACGAGTCATCATCATCTGTGACGGCCGCCTCGTCAGAGCTGACCTGCAGCAATCACGGGGAATTTCTGGAGGCCGGTTTTGAACGTAACTTTGTTCCTGGACAGTCAACTCTTCGGACAACGGAGGAAGTTCAGACGCTGCTTCTGCACTCAACCAAAAGGCTTCTTGGCCAGGAAGGCGGCAAGAGTTCAAGGAGAGAAGAGACCACGAATGCCCTGGGGACAGAAAAGAGTGACAGTTTGGTAAGTATTCGTGTTGCAACTGTCTCCTTATTTCAAGACATTGTTGACGAAAAATAAGTGGACAGGTCTAGTCGGAACCGGTTATACTATTGCATCAAGAGTGCGTGAGCGTCATATTCATTGACTACTTCAATCCTACAAACTTTTGAATATAAAGTTAAACTATTTCAGTTCTACAAACTTTGTGAATATTACCAGATTCAAGTCCGAAATACGCGGCGCGTTAAAGTCATATGTGAGGAGAAGGATGGATTTCCCTAAACTTCGGAGGCATGGCATTCTGGGTAGTATTAACAATCTCAACCTAGTACTGTTTCGGAGGAAAAAGTCAGTTTGCTGTAGAAATTACTTCGATAGAAAAGGTTTAGGTAATTATTCAGAAAAAATACACTTAGCATAAGAAAATGACGGATTGGGAGACTTTGGCTTCATAAATCAGGAGAGCATGCTAGTTTCAGAATAAGATCTATTTGACTATCATGCACTGCTCTCATTGTTTACCAAACGGAGGAGAAGAAAATTTCGAATACATTTCTTTCAAATAAAACTCCCCACTACGTTTACGAAAAAGTAGAAGTTTTGCTTAGTCTTTACCAGTCTTATTTTCAAAACACTCGTGCTTTCTTGTACTTTTTTGAAAAAAGACCGTCTATTTGCAAGCCGTCAAATTACGTAGAGGCTTCTAAATAACTCCGGCTACTTAACCATTGCGTTCAGCGTACCTTTACACCAGTGGAGTTTATTAAGGACAATTTCATCTTTTGTGACAACCGGAGATGCTGTGATATTTCTATGCACTTCTCACTTGGCGTAATTGTGTTTACTTCTCACTTTCTGCGGTCCACTGTTTCCTGTTTTCATGCTCAGCATTTATAATTAGCCGCACATGATGTAGACGTCTGAAGTTATAAAGTATGGACTTACCAAGGACGATATTACTGACTAAAGTACACTTTGTGCAGCGTGCATGCACAGGTAGATGCTTCCGGACTTTAGTCAAATACCTTGCTAGGTATTAGGGCGTTTCGAAAGTCGAAGTAGCATTTGAGAACACTATGGTGTTACGGTTCCCGATTCTGTTTTCGAAAATAAGCATATCAAAATAAGGAAGAACCAGCAACGACTACAATAGGAAACTTTTTCTTATGCATATAGTTTTCGACTCGTAGGCTACTGTTGTTTATACGGAAAAACTCAGTGAAACAAAATTTAGGACAAAAAGCATTTGGAGTTAGTTGTCGTAAATCTGACTAGAGTAATCTGCTTCTGAAAGATAGTCATCGAAATTTCCGTACTAGGCTAACTCGGCAGACATTTTCTGGCTACATTTCGCTTTTGATGAAATGGCTCAAGGCCCCGTCAAGTGTATGCAGTACTTAAAGAACTGAATGTGTCGTTGGTTTTTGAATACAGAAGCTGCAATTACTCGTAGGTGACTCGACTGCATATTCACAGACCTGCACGATAATAAACGAATTCCACTTACACTGTATGTAATTACCACTTGTACAAGATTCGTTCGCGACCCTAGGAGTGAAAAGACCTCTGTGCCCTTGGAATTTAAGCAAAGTAAACTTTCAGTATTGCTGTTCTTACCGTTTCGCAGTTACTTGATAACACATCTAGCATTGTATCTACTTCAGCATCAAGAAGATATATTTAAATATGCCTTCGACCATTGCCACAATCCGATCCTCTGATATTCGCTTAAACGTATAAAGGTAAGATGCGGTTTGGTAGCCCCACCTGATGGACACAGAACTGTTGGAGTTGGGGTTAAGGGTTGGGGTTAAGGGCTAGGGTTAAGGGTTATGATTAGTGGTTATAGTTAGGGGTTAGGGTCAAAAGTTAAGGTTAAAGGCTAGGGTTAGCGGTTGGGGTTTAGGATAAGGGGTTATGATTATGGGTAAGGGTTAGGGTTGGGAGTTAACGCAACTAGTTCTCAATCATTGAAAGTACAACCACGCACTCCCAATAGCTTCTCTTTCGCATACAACTACTTAACCTCGTCGCCTGTGCTTTCCCCGGCCCCACCTGTAAAAACTCCTATTACCACCCGTCCCGTATTAGAGGTGACCGGGGTTTGTTTACTTCAGGTGGGGCTGCCAAACCACATCCGACCCGTATGAATTCAAATAAGTTTGTTGAATTATACGAATTAAACGCTAAAGCATAATTCCGTTATACATGCTAATGCATAAAAATTCATTTTCTATAAAAGGTTTACTGTAATTAAGACTTTCTTATAATAATCAAACAAGAATATGTTTGAATTAATCACATCTTAAAAGACCCTTGTAAGAATGTTGGGTGTCCAAACTTATTAAGAATTTCAACAATGCGTCCAGTAGGTCCCAGTCTCTCGGTGACACTCGTGATTCGCAGACGCTCAGAGCGGACGCCGAGCAATATACGCATCCCTCATTCCTAAAGGCACAATACCTTTGACTTTAAAATAAAGTATAAAGTATATATAAAATAAACCTATAAACACTGTTAACTTTGTACATTTTCACTTCTTCATGTAAGTGTATTAGCCTGACGAAGAATTACCGAAAACGCGTGTTAGCCAATTTGACTTTTCAATTGTAACATGGGGATATTCGCTGAACTTAAAATAAATGCTTTTGCGTCCCAAACCAAGAAGTGCTGAGTTTTGGAAATGTGTGTCAGTGAAAGACAGTCGGGAGTCTAACCAAAATAGGGTTTACCGCAAACAAAGGCGGTTTACTTCCCTTCTGGTTCATACTCACACGCCGAACAACTGTCAGTGTATTTTTCCAGCGTTTGCCATTTCGTGATTCCACTCTGTAATTGGTTTCTCCAAGCAGGCGGGCGGAAGACTCTAGATTAAACGCCAGCCGTTTGTTGCACACCCACATCATAGGAGAACAGGTCAGAATTTTTACCTCAGTTTGGACGTTCTCTCCTGTCTGGATCATTTAACATTAGCTGTGACTAGATCTTGCGCAGGGGTACTGAGAGAAGCAAATATGCATGCTATATCCTCTAAAATGAAGCATGTCTGCGTGAAGAAAATTACTTCCGAGTTTCGTCACTCTAAGACTAGTGTTAGTGATTTAACCTTCAGTTCATATGTTTTTGCCCTTAGGGTCTGTCGAGAAGCTGAAGACACTGTGCAATCCCAGTAATTTCACCTTCCCTACAGTAATATGATCTATGAACAGTCCATTGTTGGACACGGAATTTACTATCCTCTCCCATACTAAATAGCTGCGCCAAATTCCACGGAGAACAAGTATTCCCGTATCCTTACTTCAACCTTAACCCCAATCCCAACCTGAACACTAGCCCTTCAAACCCTAACCCCAACTCTAGTCCCCCCCACCTGGAATTTGGCGTAAGGTCTATCCAGCCAGTCTTGGCAGTAAAGGCAAAACAGAAGTAGCAAGCTTAGGCATATACTTAAGGTGTCCGAATACACTACCGATGACGAAGTCGTGTAGAACGAATGTCCTACTTATCCGTATGACATTCACCACTGTCCTGCTAAACAATCTAACCAGATGAAGTAGGAGAGTTTTTTCAAAGCCATCATTAGTGCGTTGATAATGAGACATCCATTACTTTCAGAGACGATAGCTGGTGTATAGCCCCTGGCATTTTCTAACTCCTTGAACTCACGCAACGCTTGATCCCACGACATGCATTCACATTGTTTAACAATTCAACTCTGTGTTATTTGCATCCCAATCACATTCTGGACGACCCTGCTGAAATAAGTAGATGCTGCCGCATATGGCTGTCTTGGACCGGAGGTTCCAGTGAAAAATGATACTGTTCATTTCGCCCTGCAATCGGGATAGGTTAGTGGGAGCTACTTCCTTGTTACCTTGACTATTCTCCCCTTCAGTCTGCGGGACCATAACCTTAATTTTGGGGCGTTAGCCTCGGGGCTCTTGATGGGCAATTAGCTAGGGTCCATATTGCAGGCGTCAAGCCTGGGGTCTGGATGTGTCGAGCTGATGATAACTACGGCGAGGCCGGAAATGGCCATTCCGGCCTAGTTCCTCTGTGGCGACAGCACTCCTCGATGCGCACCCATAGCAAGTGCCATACATGGGGCTTGGTTGCACATTCAAATGCGGATTTGCACCGCGCCAACCACTTGCATCCGATACCTCCTCCGATCTTCTTGATTCTGTCTTGACAGTAGACCCAGGAGGATGAGGATGAAGGGAGTGTGGTAGGTGCTGCGAAAGTGAACTATCACTAAGAACTGATTCGCACGCAACCCTCTGCCCTTGCGCCCATTCTGCTGTGGAATACACGTTAGACATCGTCGGTAGAGCCGTCGGGGCCATTGGAGGGCTTTCGGTGCTCTGAAACAGGTTACTTGTCATGTAGCCTCATGCCACTCCGTGTCGCTGGAAAGTTTGGTTGCAGTTTAATGAAGAAACACGCTTAAAGGAAACGTTAAGCATCCGAGTTTATCCATGACATTTGTTATCTCTGTTCCATGACTCTACTGAAGTGGATTAAGGGGACGTAGATGTGAGAGATAGGGCTAGTTTGAACTTTCTTGCTCTTGAGAGCAGGGAGTAAGCAAGTAGATGTGAAAAGATGTTGGATTATGAGCACGAAACATGCTCATTCAATATCCTAAAATTTTGAAAAGCCAAATAAGAATATCCAACGATCGACGAATTCGTAGTAGGGCGCCAGTCTGGTCGCGAACATGTGAACAATCATACGTGAACTGTTGGAGACCGGAACTTGAAACACTACATCAAAGGCATGTCTTATGAGAAAATTATTTAACTTAGTTTGATAAAACGCGTCCACCGCGAGAAATCGAGGTTTCTTGCGGTTTCATTACAGTTACTTTTAGTAAGCTGAGAAAATCCGAATGTACTCCCACCAGGAAAAAAGACAACTCGTGTGAGTTTTTGGCTTGTGTACGTGTCCAGGAAACGAGGCAAATCTGTTGGTCTGGACAACAGTGAATTGGGCTTACCGGATCGACAATCCATACCGAAATGAGGCGTCCGGACGAGGGTAAAGCAAAGAGACTATTTCTGAATGCAGATAAAACCTAGGGCTAAAAGCATCCGTAACGACCGGTAGAACGAATAGTGAGTTCGATGAAACCGCAACCTGCAATCGAGCTGATCAAAAGTATCTCATGCAGATCTGATGTACATAGTCTTGGGAATTGCGGCCACCGACTTGGTTATGGGACTTAATCGTCCCCTTGTGCCTTGGGACTTAAAAAGTAGCCCTCGGAGGCAGCGGTATAGCGAAGGAATACGGACAAAGAGAAGGGGGACTGGGATGGCCATTTCAGGCTTATCAGTCGCCGTCGCCCAGCCCTACCGAAACCCGGGGTTTTCAGGATCCTCCTCAATGTAAGAACATAGGAATTAAGAAAGCATTAGATTCCCAAACAACTAGGGTTGGGATTTCACGTCCAGAAAGTCTGGGGTTTAGTAGGGCTGGTGAAGGTGGCTGAGTAACCAGAAATTACCATCCCACTCTCTTTTGCCCTTGTCGGTGTTCTGTTCTCTGAGTTCATGGGGATATAGAACGCCGAAATGGAGGCAGTTAATGAGTTAAAAGGACTCCAAGTCTATAATGAACTGCAGGATCCGGGTGGAAGAAAGTGTAAGATGTGGTTATGTAGCCCCACCTGATGGGCACAATACTGTTGTGGTTAGAGTTCAGGGTAAGGGGTTAGGGCAACTATTTCTCAAAGTACAACGGTGCATTCCAAATAGCCTTTCTTTTGCATACAAATACTTGACCTCGTCGCCTGGGCGATCCTCGGCCCCAACTGTACAAACGCCTATTACCACCGGTACCGTATTACAGGTGGTCGGGGTTTGTTTACTTCAGGTGGGACTACATAAGCACATTTGGCCGGAAAAAAAGAAACCATAATTACGCAATTTTCCAAATGTCTATTTCCTATCTAATCATTCTGTTGCTTTGGGAGTCCAAGCATAAAAGCAGAACGTGAAACAGGTAGGCATTTTAGGCGGAAATCAACGATTTCTTTATGTAAAGACTACCGGTTTCTACCTAGTTTTTGAAAACTCACCCACAGATCTCGTCTTCTCCTATTTTCCTTTCTTCCTCATACTGCTGTCTAAACGAGCAACAGGACTTATCCTGCCTAGGTTTTGGTGCTTAGACCTATTACACGCATAGGACTCCTTACGTCTGCGCTTTCTCTGATACTGTAAATCATCAGGTTCAAGTGGCACCCTCTACTAAGATGTAGCTTAAGTGAAAAAGATCATAAGTGCCTCCCTGTCTAGAAGTGGAGCTTAGCCGATCTGCCCGCAGAATGGAATATCCTCGTCCCACTTTGCCGAGAAGCCGTTGCTGGTGGTCGAAGCATTAACAGCCAATCACACTCCTCCAGTCTGTCATTAATTGTAATCGCCGACCATGATCATGGTCCTTATCCCCCTATGCCTGAGTTCAGTTTGAGGAATGGAAACTCTCCGTAAAACAAACAACCTTACGCTAAATTCCATAGAGTGCGGGTATTCCCATGTCCAAACTCTGCCGCCTGCCCCATCCTAGACGTTAACCATAGCCATAAGCTTCGTGGAATCTAGCCCAAGGGCATCTATAATACGGCGGAGGGGGTTCCTATTCTTGGGCCGCACCGATGATGCTATCATATTTCCTGTACGAATGCTGGTTGGGGAGCCTAGACATTCGATGTGTTACTTTCTTCCCAGATGCAGTCCAATGGAGCCCGAAAGGGCTCAACAGAATCGGCATTCGCAAAGAAACCTATCTTCACTGTTGTTCACCAGGCGATTCGAATTTTAGATTCAACAAGTTTGAAGAATAAGCAGAAATGTAATGGACATACTTTAACCAAATGGAAGCCTCATCTTTACCCAGGATTTGGAGGCTTACGAGGACGACATATATTCACTCCCTAGAGACTGGATTACGTAGGTAATACCCTAACCCAAAACTCGTAGACTGTCAAATCAGGATGTTATATCATTCAACCAATATTTCTCTATTGCGAACAAATGTCTGTTAAAAAGTACATGCAGGTAGACTGAGAAAGCTTGTTTGACATAATTTTCCCTCCAAAAGCTTTGTCAAACAGCTGTCCGGCTAAATCCCTACGGGAGTTATGGCCGCATTAAACTAACGTCAAAATTCGACAAGGGTTGTCAAGTCATTGCGCTACAAATGATGAAAGCCCAAAAGAATGTTTTAGGTTTTATATGACTAGGAAACTGATAGCACAGTTTACAACGACAGTAATCTTCGTTACAGTGGCAGGGATCGACCACATGCCGAATTTCTATCTCCTCGACTAATGCTCTTCTTTTGTGCATATATTAGTGGAGAGAAGCCGCCATTTTCGTAAGAATGTGGCTTCTCCTTGATATTCCAGCTACATTACTCGTGACTGGAAGTGCACATTAGCGCACGAAAAGGACGAGAACGCGCAACCTGTTAGTTGAAGCGGGGGGAAGGGGGAGTTCGAGCACCGGTTACCATTTTAGGGTCGCGCCGAGCTCTGGCAAACGGGTTTATGCTTACATCACACCTATGTGCACAGAGCCGTCTGCGAACTGGCACTAACATTCACCCCAAGTTTAATATGCAAATGAAAAACTATCCTCGACCTCCGCTGCATCGAATTGAATTAACATTCCGAGAACCGAAAGCCCGAAAACCTCTTCCTCGCAGTGTCGAGTTCTGCCTCATCGCGAGGGCCCTCACATGCACGTGGGGTCGTCGGAAAAGCCACGACGGCGAAGGCTAGTTAGCGGCGACCTGCGCTCTCACAAAAGGCGAATCGGACTTCGTATTGTTGATCTTGCATTTCTCCGTTTCGCAATGCCGCCTGCCCACACGCACATAACCAGGCAAGCGAACAATTGTGGGCGTGCAGGCTGTATGACAAAATCGAAACGCACAGGATACGACACACTGGTACGCGCTATGCGGGACGGAGGGAGAGCGAGGGAGAGAGAGCACGATCGTCCCGCCAAACAATTCAGTAAGCATTGCGCGGACACAATCATTGCCGCCCTCAGGGAAAATGCGGTGCGTTCTGCTGAGTGTGCACACGGCGGTTACCACAGGCGTGTTGATTGTGACATGCATTGCAGAAGGCTGATCGCCACCACCACCACCACCACCACCACCACCACCGCCGCCGCCGCCGCCGCCGCCGCCGCCGCCGCCGCCACCACCGCCGCCGCCGCCGCCACAACCACAAACTCTACGTGAGCGGTGCAAATTGCACTGCTTTTAAATTCTTAACCTGAGGCGGGCTGCGAACAGTCGGAGTTAGCATGCGATCACCCCTGTGCACATAGCGATACAACAGGGAGCGAGGGCTTGTAACCACCGGTGACCACATAACTGGGTCCAAAGTACATAAGGCAGAAATATTAGGCGCGCTAAGTGAGGGCAGGATAAGGCTTTTTTGGTGCGGGCAGTAACTAGGGGACTTCGCCAAGAATAATACATGTTCCGCTACTAATAACCGAGCTGTAGGATATGCCAGCATGTAACTCGCAGCTTGTCGCTTGCGTAAACATCCAGCGGCTGGTAGGACGCATTTCCAGTGACTGAACAATGTTTGTGAGGTCCCTGATGGAGTGGCGAAAATCGTCGTATTGAATTCCATTTACAACGCGACTGTTGCGTCAACATCCCGGGCGCATACACACAAGATATTCGAAACAACCTACGATCTGTAGGCATGTTGGAAATAGGAACTAATCGGCCTGAAATGTTCCTGTAATGAATTAACGGTGATCACGGCATCGATAATCAACTTCAAACTGCTAAAGTGGATTGTAACTTTAAGCGAGGAGTGCTGATAGGAAGTAAAAAAACATGGGTGCTTACTTTCAAAGACAACTTTATATGGTAAACTGATTTCCAATTGGTCGGAAGTAACAACATATTAGCCATTTCGGGTGTGAGCTATGACAGTGCACATTTATAATGCCGCTTATATCCTACGACCGCATTTTTAACCAAGTCCCTGAAGAGCGTTTTGAATACTAGAGTTTGGAAACAAGATATTTTATGACATTTTCGGAAGTAGGCTTTTGAACACGGTTAAATACAGACGTCGGTGAGTAGACTACTCTAACAGTAATTAGCTAAATGTTTTATCTTTAATTCATATTGATCCAACTGTGAAAACCCGGCGCCTCGGTGGGATACGAACTAAGGCCAGCTAGGGGAAGGTTTTAGTACAGCTGACGCTCTAGCCACTCGAGCTACGAGACCCCACTGGGAGACGTGAGTTTAACCATATATGGATCAGGCTACCCACCCAACCTACTGTAACGTCTGAAATCCACCAAATCTAATACAGTAAGTTGATTGCCCAAACAAGATTTCCTAAGAAATCCACATAGAATCCGCCGGATGACTACCAGGCCCACCTAATTCAGAGATGTTTTGGCAGATTTTGAATAATTCAAATTGACCCAACTGTGAAGAGCTCAGCGCCTTGGTGGGATTTCATGGGAAATCAGTTGGTCTTCAAATATCATCGTCTCAAATATGATCATACTGGTTGCTTACGATGATAAATAAGCGGGAATTAGAACCTGTCGAATAGGGCTGGTAGTCGTGATTTCGTAAATACCTACGTAGTTGTGACTTTATCTAATATCTGAAAAACGGCCGGAACTGAGTTGGATTTTTAAAATATAGATTGAACATGTTTGCTGGTCAAAACGGACGGGACTCACTTACCAACTTATCTGTTGAAGCCATAGACTCCCAAAGAGGGCAGTCCGGTGGTACTCGAAAGCGCCTAAATATTTAAACAAGATTTTTACTTCGAACGCCACTACTCTTTAGTCCCGCGAGAAGATTTAAATTCCCATCAATAAAGACATTTATAGACCTCCTGCTGTCCGAGGCACAGCAAGATCGTCAACATTTGTTGTCACCAGTCTAGGTGGATCAGCGGTTAGTAAGTAATGTCGACGCCCAGTTACTTTCACAGCAACTTGATTTTAACTTGCTGTCCTCCAAATTACCCCTGACGTACTAAACACTGTCATACATGAAAAACATATATGTGTACAAATTCCCTCATGAAGATTCCTGTATGTACAGAAAACACTAAATCCCATTACACTATTGTTTCCGTTCAATGAGTTTATACAAAATTCGATCATAGGTCAGATATGGTTATGTAGCCGCACCTGAGGTAAACAATCCCAACGACCTGTAATACGAGACCGGTGGTAATAGGAGTTTCACAGGTGGGGCCGGGGAACGCACGGAAGAAGAGGTCAAGTAGTTGTTTGCAAAAGAAATGCTATTGGGAATGCGCGATTGTAATTTAAGTGGTTGAGAAATAGTTACCCTACCCCCAACCCTAACCCCTAGCCCCAATTCCAACAGTATTATATCCATCAGGTGGGGCTACATAACCACATCTTACCCGATCATATGCCTCACAAGACGTTTACCGTGGGCAGATGTGGGCGTTTGGTGAATGAACTGAAGTTGCTTAGGAACCCAGCGGAATGTGTGGACATTAAATTCGTCTCCCTCAGAAACTGAGATAGCGCCAATTATCCATAAACGGACTGCTGTACGGTACATTTAGTAACGTTGATGTTTTTAACACTTAGAACAATTCGTTTATCTGTCTGCTTTCGAAAAATTTGCCAATCTGGAAAAACTTCTGTAGCTGTTGGATTTTTCCATTTCCAAATTTTTGATATACTTCGCTTTCTTGTAACAAATAGGGAGTTCAGAGGTTCCACACCTAAGTTTCCCTCAAATAAACTGAAACTGCAATGACTTTTAGGGCTGCAATGAAACCATCTCGGATTTTTGGAGTTTTCCGCCGGGTGCATGTCCTCCGGTTGTGTTCATGCCTTATTTGGCTAGACCGTACTCTTAAAATGCAATTTTATCGATAAGTCACGACCTTTTTACAGAAAGCAGTCATACTCGGTAGTGTCATTTGGAATAAAATCTACTTGTCATACGACAATTCGACCGTCGATCCCAACTACGTCTACGGTGTTCGGCACAGAAGGGTGGGCACAATGACGGTGGTTTGCATGTGAATTAATTCGCAGTGACAATACACTTTCGCGGCACCTACCACACTCTCTTCATCCCCTTCTTTATGGGTCTACTACCAAGACAGAAGCAAGAAGAACGGAGGAGGTATCGGACGCAAGTGGTTGGCGCGGTGCAAATCTGCATTTGAATGTGCCACCACACCCCATGTATGACACTTGTTATGGGCGCGCACTCCAACAACGCCTGCCAGGCCCAGATCCGGCTCCCTTGTTAATCCAGTACAATTACTGCATGGAGCCCTGTCGAAGGCACTACTGTGCCGTAGAAGATCACACGAAGCCACCTCCAACGTTCAAACTAATTTCTGCAAAACACTACGTAGGAAGTGAAGGTCATTCATAAACTGGACTTGTAGAGGTGCATTTATGAAAAAAGTGGGACGTTCACATGGTCTAGTGGCATATGGGTTGAGACGCTCTGAAATGTTTGTTGTTCGCAGGGTAAGCGTGTCTACGACGGCGGCATGAAGATGAGTCAAGTATAGGGGTGGAAAACCTGATGGTTTCTAAAGTTTCTTATCGGAGGTCAGCTAGTTTTTCGCTAGGTGTAACTAGTAGCGTTATAACCTTTACCGTGGTGTTTAGACTAGTCCTCGATAGCCGCACAACAGCAAACCTGTTTTCGCACAGCAGTTAAACAGATACGCGCTTGAGTAACTGGCAGGAAGCCCTAAGACGCATACGATGTCCAAAACATTTCCCCGAATGCCTCACTTTACATGACTTACTGTTGGTTTGCCCTTTTCTCTTCAGGTGCGCGATCATCTACAAATTCCCCTTTGTCAGACGGGGAACCAGGTCACCGGCCATTTCCGGGCGGGTAGTGTCGGAAGCGACAATGAATCTCAGGGTTGACATACCGAATGCCAGACAGACAGGAGAAGCAGCCTCTTTGATGGAAGATATCCGGTCCAGTGCGTGGTCGGTAGTCCTTCAGGCGAACTATCCCCCTACTACCCCCTGTAAGTCAAGGCATTTGGAAGGCCTCGGGACATCCGCACAATCAGCCCTACACACCTATTTCGACCTAACTTACCCAACCTCATGAGTACGTCGCCAAACCTCCACCCCTCTCCTCTAAAACTGGGAACAGTCGAATCACCAAGTCACTCCATCAAATCATCCCCTTTTCTACACAACAGTCCTTGTACGCTGAAAGACTACAAAACGGCAAAGCTAGCCGAATTACACTTCCCTCGTTTAATCTGCATCATCTGCGTTTCTTCACCAACTAGTCCCCAATTTTGCATTGAAGTTACTGTACTGCTTTAAAAGGGCATAAAAAATGCCCCTTCGATAAGTACAGCCAGCTAATAACAGTCCTGTACTTCTCAGGATAAAGGGACCCCTCGACTAAGGGCTTATCTTTAGCACTGCCCAAAATATTCCTTTGAATCTTCACCACTTGGCAAGTCTTACACCTTTGACAGTCACTGAAATCTAAGTTTTCTGAAATACTGAGTCCTTGTTTGCGCTTAACCAGGAGAAGTCTATTTGAAATGCTTACACTATGGGAGTTACAAAGTGCTTCCATGTGCACAGAGGAACACAGGGACTTTTCTAACTCGGTTCCTTTTAGGTTACTCAGGTCAGTAGGGTGGTTAGATAAAAGGTGTTAATTACAAAGGCTGAAGGACTTGCTAGTGAGATTTCGACCATCGCAAACAACGATGTTCACCGTGAGCCGTGCGGCATGATCGCAGCACCGGTGACTTGAGTGGAAATTGTGGTTTATAATGGGACGGACATGCTCAACATCTGCCTCACCATCTACGTCGTCACACATCTGAGTCCGACAACAAGACAGATTCAGGTCGACCGGGTTCAAATGCAGTGATATACAAATTTAAACAGCCCGTCTGCACGTGCCACACACGACCTGGTCCTCCCGCACAACGGACCAGGTTTTCATAAAAACAAAGAGGCAGTTTGTGGTAGTGTCGTAGAGGCCGCATTAGAAAGGAAACATTGTGCCTGACTCTTATTCCTCGAGACAGTCATCCCACAAGCACACACACATACACAGTACTGACTTACGATGACGGAGTCATCGAGGTCAGTCTGGTTTATTTGAGGGAAATATAGGCACAGACCTTTAAATTCCCTATTTGAACGATCATCCTGCTGCATTAGGGAAAAATATCAACAAGTGGAACGTTATCAAACTGCAAGTATGTGTCAGTATATGCCAAGCATTTGATGATAGAATTGGATGTACTGGTTGACGAAGCTACAGCAGCCTATCTACGTGCGCCACACGCTAACTGACCACTAAGTAATGTACCAGTTCTTGCTAGAACATTAGGAAAAACGGACAGACGAACGCACTGATGGACTGAGGAACTGGACAGCCACCACGCAAGACGAAACTAGTTAGGCAGATGGAACAATCGGATAGAAGTGGGGGAGTTGGCAACCGTAGAGAAACATATCCTGGTTGCATTCTAGCCTCACCCCTCAGTCTTATCACAAGGCTTTCCGGTTTGTTAGGACAGTTTTACTATCTTAAATGATTGCGTTCTCCCATGTCTAGAAAACTGGAATTCCTTGTTCCTCCCCCTTTGTCGCTGTCGTATCATTCGGCATATATTCATAGCATAATAGCAAAATCCAAACTTTAATGTTTTCTTAGAAACTTGACGGCACATAAAGAGGATTCGAGAAGTCTACTGTGAGAGTCTCACATCAAGAACACGATGTGGGACGATGTGTATTTACCAGTTCTCCATGAATGAGAAATTGAATTAAATAATGGCATCAAATTTTTCACGAGGACGACTAAATTATAAAGTATGATTAAGTTTGGGAAGTTCTGAATGCATAAAGAACCAGTGGGCCCCCTTCCAACAAATTGTCGTTTGGTCTGTCCGACCAGTCTGGGAACCTGTTCGGGCGAAAAATTATCCAATTACATCCGACAAGGGACTTTCCTGGTCGCTTATGACTCATGAATTGGCAGCAGCCAGCAGGAACAAGAATATATGGAAACATTGAACACTGAAACCGAGTCATTTGAAGCACACCTCGAAGGTCTAAATGAAGAGATAACTTTGTCTCCTCTCTCTCATGCCGGCTTAAAATGGCAACCAAAATTAGCACAGAAAAGAGTCTTCTAAGGACAGTTTGCACAAAAAACAATGAGACTGAACTGTTTACGATGCGCGGGTATGTCTTTAGTCTGCTTCCAATTCAGTAATTAAGTGGTGGTTTGATGGGAAAGAAAGACAACCTCATGTGCGCAGTGTTTATGAAGACTGTCCAAGCAGAGCGTATATGTGAGGGCTGGAGAGTACCTTCTATACACAGTCAAGTGTTTTGTCTGATTCTACAATAACTACCACTTCCTAGTCCGCTAGAGTGCTGACTTTCTTTCTGCCCCTAAGAGGGTCTGAAAATGTGCAGGTAACGATATAGCTACATGGAAGCATCTAGGATTTCCAGTTCGCGAGAACAGAGGAGAATGGCAATGGTAAGTCGAGTTACGAAAACGAAGCCCCATACTTTTGGGAAGCATTTCGGGATCGCCAGCCACGATGACCAGATATGGAGACGGGGAAGGAGTGTCACAAAACAACGAAGACTGAAATGGCCATGTCCGGCTTGTAGATAATTGTCAGTCAACCATATCCAACCCCTGGTTTCGATGATCTGCTGTTTGAACCCCGATTCTTTGGTCATGGGACGTTAAACAGATACGAATACTTTTGGTTAAGCCGTACGTCCTTTTCCAACTTTTCAGAAAGCGTGACTGCGCCTTGAAACCACTTGCGCAGGCACTGGGGGGAAGTCGCTGACTTATGAGACCTCCATATGAGGCACAGGAGTCGGTGCCTATTCGGGTATGGCTTCAGCCGACACTTCGATACTGACTTAAGAACTTGCGTGTTTTTGTATCTATCGAATGTGCAGTCTGATTCTGATTGACTGAAAGCTTCGGAATGCATGAGCACGCGCATGAAAGGGAGGAATGCCGATTCACTAATTGTGCCCCATCGTATTTCCAGCAGGTTGCGCTAGATCTCTACTCTTGAGCATAAGGGAAGAAAGGCTGTTCCTTGCCAACTTCCTTCACTGGAGTCTTTGCGACGCCCATTTAAACCATTCGAACATCTCAGATGTAGTGAGTTGGGAGGCTGGTGACAGAAGGTGTAACATAGTTCTTGAGAGAGACAGAGAGAGAAAGTGACAGAGGCAGTTCGTCATATCTCCCGCGCAACATGGTTTAATAGCAACTTTTCTGCACATTCCAATCCCGTACGTGAAACTGGGTTCATTTTTTGGGGAGGAATCAACTATGTTTTGGCATGCCTAGGTGGCAATGTGTGCTAGCCCAGCCACAGAGTTCTATCTCATTGTCTGTCGTACTGGTCCAGTCTTGCCACCGACTGACGGTCTGCGTGAGAATACAGAGCGAGTTGTAGGTTGAGCAAATATCTATTGCCCCCAAGCTGTGTTCACCACTTTCCCCCACCGGCCCTCCACAACATCTTTCAAGTTCTACGGTGATGAGTTACTTATCCTTCTACAGACAGTCCTGTCTTCTTCGGTACGCTTTCCCACCGCAAATGCCGACTAATAACAGTGGAGTTCGGCAGCTCTCATTTCGTTTAGGCAACCTTATATACTCTCCTGAAAAAGATAATAGAAAATGTGTCTTAAGCAAGGCTTGATCTCAACTTTCAGTCAGCTGGCCCTGGTTACGGGTGATCGCAATTGAGTTCAAAGCATAAATAATGAAAACAACCAGTCCCCTTCTGTCCGAATTGTTCCGCTTTGTCTAGTTGTCTGGACGTCCCATTTCTCATGGAGATTCCCCCGCTGTCACACGAGCAGAGAGAATGAGAGCCCTGGTCGTTCAGGAACCTACTTCGCTAACCTCATGAAAGTCTCCTCTACGTGTATGCGTCATTAAAGTAAGTCGGGGTAGGATCAGTCATTAAAAGTAAGCAACATGGTAGCAAAGAGCTGGTCTGTCATTGTCTCCCTTCCGGAGGAAACTAGTTATCGCACCAGCATATGCATGTCACTACTTCCAGGGGAGAACACAGTCCCCATCATCATTGCCAATGCTGGTAATCATAATCGGTCGTAATGACATGAATAAGAACTGACAGGAGGACTAAATTCCCTTTTTAAAGTGTGCTTCGATTAACCAAAACTGCTGCCCATAGACGTTTCCCATGGTATGTGTGCGATAGTTCGACAGTCGTTGCCGACGATGTCCACCGTGCGCTCCACAACAGGGTGAAACAAGGATGGTGACTTGTACGCGAACTAGCTTTTAGTGGTAGTATACTTGAACAGAACCTGCCGCACTCTCTCCTCCTCCCCCACCTGCATGCGGTGTCAAGACATGGTCATGAAGACCGGAGGCAGGGGAGGACGCAGGTGGATGGCACGATCGAGTCCGCACCTTGGCGTTCCACTCCACATCCCTTGGTCTACACAGGAAAGGACAAGGCTTTTGACCAGCAAAAACAGTGGGGGGGGGGGCGGCAGGGGTCGCAATGGGCGCGACGTCAGTCGGCAAATGGGTCGGCCATCGGACCCCCGAATGTTGGCATTTTTAATGGTGCGCACTCCGATAACGCCTGCCAGAATCCGATATGGTCCCGTTTTGGTCCGTTTGGGGGGGGGGGGGGAACACAGTTCTGGAAGGATGCCGGACGTTAAACTGGAGGCAGTAGCCCTTCTCGGCTCCGTCTCCATGCTGTTTCTTTGCTGCATGTACGATTCGAGTCTGAGGCTATCACGGCGCGTCAAGCGCTGGGACATGAAGGACTGTTGACCGGCGCCCCACCTCAGTCTACGCAGTCTGCTCAGTTGTGTGTGTATGTGTGGAGTGGCGGACTGGT